TGTTTTTATTAAAGAAAAAACAAACAGTAAAAGCCTATGTAACTGTGTTTAGGATACTAAAACATCATACATAAGTATGAAACTCATAATTAATTATCACAGCTAAGTACTGTGCATCAATGACATGTATGTATCAAGACCAAGAGAAATAAGAGCAATGAAAAACCAACATACTGCATTCTCCCTCCCATCCACCCACCCTCTTCTGAATCCATAGCCTTTTTTATTCATCTCCCCACCCACTGGTCTTCTGACACAAATGCACAATGAAAACCAAAATATAAGAGCCAGAACAGTTCTACAGTAAATCACCTGTGTCTCTTCGTACCTATTACTCTACCACCTTTCCTCATCTTTATGACTCTTAATATGGGCTATTTTATGTACAATGAACACACAGCTAATTTTTCAACCCTAGTACAAGTAATTTCAGCTTATAAACCATTCTACAGAAAAGCTAAATTAATAATTACAGCCATTCTCAGTACAGGCAGACCCCACTGTCAGTACTAAAAGGATGTTGGGTTTGGACTACCTTCCTTGCTACCCATGATTTATTACAAGCTGTATTTTTCCCCTCATAGTACTCAGGATCAGCAGTTACTACCCTGGCACTGGTGCCATTAACCACATATTTGCCAAGTGACTGAATCAGTATCTTCCAAACTAGACAAATACACAGTGATGTTAATGTCCTACTACACCAGGACTTTTTAAATTAAAAAAAGTCACAGTGAGAAAGTTTTGCTACACTGATTTTTGCTTTCAGCTTTCTAAGATAACAGTCCAAAGATGAAAAATAATTAGGCTATGTTTAAGAAATCTTAGAAAGGTTTTCAATGGCTGGTTTAACTAAATCTGCTTATTCCACCTACTTTTCCAGAACTTAATCTCTTCTAGAATGGAGTGCTCACTATCTCAACTTCAATCTCAACAATGTGTTTGTACAAATCTATTCTCCATTGAGAGGAAAAAAAATACAATAAAAATCAGCTTAAAATAAATTTATTAAACAATACAAAAATAAGCATGCTGGAAATCAAGATACATAAATAACATACAATGCAAATGAAAAATGGAAAACGAGACAGGTAACTTAACAACTGAGCCAAAAGGTACAACACAAATGCTAAAATAAAACTTTAAAAAGCATTTACATTTCTAATGAAATGTTAATGATGCTGACAAAGAAAAAAAAAACCAAACAAACAGCTAAAATGCTTGAATATCAAGAATTGCTATTACTGTAGCACAGGTGAACACTAAAACCGTTGCAGACTTCAAACATGGAATGCCTAGAGCCTCTGTCCCCGTCCCTTCAGACCAGCCACCACTGCAGCCCCAGCTCTGCCCTCAGCCTCTGGGTGTGCCCTGCCATGAACAAGAGCCACCTGCAGACACCCCAGGCCAGGACAAGAACCTGCCAGTGTGGGCAAGTTACAGAACAGCTGGTTCAGAGGAGTCTCCTCCTGACCCTTCCGAGCTAGAGGCTGCCTTCAGTTCCGAGACAGGCTTCGAAAGCATGTATTACAGAACTGTAATATACATAGAAAGGAAAGATTGTGTAAGCTGTACCCTAAATATTCTTATCATGCACATTAAATAGCTAGTAGTTTCCTTATTTTTGTATTTCCCATGCAGGACTTGACTCTACCACGAGTTTTGTATGTAACTGACTAACATAAATAGGGTAAAGATTTTTGGGTTTAAGTCGAAACTCAGATGGAAAAATCTTCCATCTTCCAGCACGTTTTTAGAAGTGGTTTCAAATAGTACTGAAAATCGAGGTGGGTAGAATTAGATCAAGCAAATCCTGCATCATCTGTTTTTCTTTCTTAATTAAATCAGTAAATTAACCAGCAACATGTCATCACTGTAAATGCTCTTCATTAGCAGCACAGACACATTACAATCCCTCTTGCAACTGAGGATATTTCAGGTAAAGACATGTAGCTCTGCAGGGTCTGAATATTTGTTATGTCTCTGTAGCTACTAGTTTACTGTAAAATCCTCAAACATGCAAGACATTTTTGTAATCTGACATTTTGCCTTTGCTTACTTTTATATAAGCACTGACAAACCTAACCTTATCAGTGATAAGATTACAAGTTATTATTCAGCAATTCGTGACTGACACTTATTAATGACATCTGCACCACAGATTTACCTCTTCACCCCAGTAGGGCTTCAAATTCACTGAGAATTGATGGTTTAGATCATTTTACTTAAACATTTCCATCCTAGGCTTCGAAGACAGGAAGCTCATCCTTTTACAATACACTGCTAAACAAAGATTACTCAGGGTTTAGTCAGAGCTTATTTCAAATGTTTATGACAAACTAACAGTATCTAAACAGAGTAATTAAGAGCAGCTTGCTTTCTCAGAGAGCATCAGCTTTGCTTTATGCATCTCGAACACCCAGATGGGTCAAAAAAGGGGCAGGAAAAAACACTCTCCCTTTATGCACAACTCACATATGAACTCTGGAGTTTTATCTAAACTAAAAAGGTACAAGGACTAGGGAAGGGGGTAGGGAGAAGAGGTGAAGGTGTTACTGAGGAATTATCTGTCATTATCTCTTAAAATCCTCAACCAGGCAATTCCATTTATCATAACCTGGACAAGTTTTTTCACAATTTTATAACCCAGGACTCTGCATGATGTGTACTGAGGGTGGAATGTATCAGATTAGCTGCAAATTTATAAAGCGGTAAACTTTATAGAGAAAATAATTTTATCAGATTTTTAGCATCATTAAGAATATAATATCTACAAGTGTCCAGAAGTGTCTACTGAGCCTATCTGAAGCTTTAATACCTCATTTTGAGCTACACCCTCCTCAAGACACTCAAATTATCAAATTATGCAGCTTAACAGATGCAGCTGCCTGTAGAAAAATGTGAGTCTGGTTTCTTAGCAAGCTGATAGCTGCAAACTCATTTTCAAAAATAGCAATTAATGATAAGAAACTTCTTAAGAATTTGTTCATGTGTAAGTAAAAGAAAGCTCTGATCTTCATATATGAACATGCACATACATTGATGGTTGAAAAATAACTTAATTGCAAACAGTTTTAGTAAGCTCTACCTATCTGCTTCACTCTGAACACATTTCCTGCTCATTGCTCAGCTGGTTACCACTCTAAACCCCAGACTGCTTACATTCCTCTCGAGGGTGGAGCACAGCACTATTAGTAAGACAGACTTCTGACTCACAACGACCAGCTGGCAGCACTAGCAGCTAGAGAGACACTCAAAATAGTTAGGTCAGAAATCTTTCTGCTGCTTTAGTTAACTTATAAATAAGACAGGCTTTTCCTTCCTCCTCTCCACTTCTCCCACTCCTCTCCAGCCATTCTTGCTCTTTTTATTTAAATGTTAACAATAATTATTAAGGGTCTGATTAAAAGGAAAAAGTAATCTTCACTAGCACGGCATATCCAAAGGAGCCATTTCTGTTCAATGCAATTGGAAATCTTACATTAAATAAACAAAAAAGGATATGGTAATTACACAACTCAGAACCTATCTCCACTTAATATACAATCTTTTAGAGATCCAGCATTTTGCTGTATTTTGTTGACACTATTTTAATTAATATCATCCTGTCTTTACATGCTGACCCTGCTCAGAGGACATGTAAGTTCTTGCTTAGCTCTAAAGTTCATTTTCTTAAAATTCTCACATATAAACAAAAATAGATATACACAAAAGTGGTATATCTTTGAAAACACTCAGATTTACCTTTAAAATAAAAAACAAAACCAAAACCTAAATGTTTTCTAAGTAGCTACAAAAGTCAGTTAACAGCTTTGGGTTTGTTGCTTGCACATGCTTTTTCCCCACCCCCCCTTGAACTTTTGACAGTCTTTTTGGTATAGCATACAGAATTTACACAAAATGTATATATAAATGAAACACCAGGCAAACAATATTCAAATCAAAGTTAAATCTAGAGATGCTTGAGGGTTTTTAAAATGCAGAATTTAATGAAACTATAACCCATTCGTTTAGTTCTGCTCTCCCCGACCTTCCATTCTATACACTACGGTTCTGGAGATGTCCTCGTTTGATTCAGGTGACACTTTTTTCCATACTGTTTCTTTTAAAGCAAGTTCTTGCTGGAGATTCTCATAGTCCATTGGTCCAAAGGAATGCTAGTTGTTCAAGCAACATACATTATTTATTAGTGTATTTGAAGGAATAAAAAAAAAAATCCATACTTGCAGTCAATGCTAACAGACTCGAGTTTTTCAGCTCTTCACATAAACTATTTTTTCTTTTTCCAGTTATAAAAAAAATCCAAATTCAAAACTGGGTATTTTTTAGATGTATACATGCAAATAGAAGCACTTTAAAAATCATTCTACTGTATCTTCTCCTATGGAGATCTTCATGTCTTAGTCAAAACATTAACATTAATGATGACAAAGAGGTTTTCCTTTTCTCGAGCACCCTCACACTTTCATATTTTGTACATGTAGCTGGAGTGGATTCAGTTCATTCCCAGGCATTGCTTATGCTGCTTCCTAAGTAACAGGCTCTTGTCTAGGCACTATTCAATAAATTCACTGCCTGTGCAACTCTCAGCCAAGTCATGTGCTCTCAGAGATACCCCCCTGAAAACACAGCCTAACACAGATCTCGTGCACTGCAGCACAGAACAGAAAGGCTAAGCCCACCAGCTGGTCAAGTCTTTATTAAAGGCAACCAGGACAGTAAAACTCTTTGTAACTTAGACCAGACACCATCTACTTAGTCTAGGAGGGGAGATGAACTGCGTGAAATGGAGTTACAAATCTAGTATGACATTCTACTACACAAAACACTGTGGTAGTGTGGTCCACCCAGGGGAGTGTCTACCTAGAATGTAAACTCACTAGATTATCTGAAAGCTTTGATGCAATACATGTCATTGAGCAGCTCTGCATTTAGAGAAGCACTTTGCATTTCTTCTGATGTCTACAAGCAATCCTCACTAAGCACAGACACCAACTTACCCGCTGGTCACCACCTTCTCGGCGAGGGTCAAGTTTTTTTGCAAAGTGCCTCAAATTATCGTAGTTATGGAAATTGCACAAAGAAACCAGATCCTGCAAATATTTAGAGAACATGTATTATTATATGCATAGGATAGTCAGATGCATATGATATAATAATACCACCACTATAACTTACCCTTTACATCATATCCTAGTAACTTAAACCAGTAATAAGTTTATTTAACACCACTGTCTGTAAGGCCCTTTGAACATATCAAAATTAAATGACAGAGATCTAATAAAACTTTTCGACTCCTTTTTAAAAAAGTACAAAACAAGTAGCAAACCATTTTAATAAATTCCTACTCCAGCTGTATCAAACACTTCATGAACAGAGAGAATAGCCTGGGCTAGTGCAGTACATGAAACTTCAATCAAAAGGATGAAACAAGAAAATGTGTGACTTAATGGATTCTGATTCAGTTTGAATTGCAACATGAGGGTTATAATTACAAAACTCTTCCATGCTGTTGTATTTAAGGGGCTTAAGGAAAGAGACTGGAGGTGGCACCTAGTGCCATGGTCTAGTTGACATGGTGGTGTTAGGCCACAGGTTGGACTCAGCCTCAGAGCTCTTTTCCAACTCTAATGATTCTGTGATTTTAATGTTACTTTCATGTTATTTGCACACCATGATCATGTATCAGGTTTTAGGTCTCATTACGACACAGAGTAAATGCAGTAAATCCTCCACCTATCTGTAGTTCTATGATTTTATAGTTAAATTGCCAAGGCTATTTCATACAAAAAAACTTTAAAGTACTTATACTAAAATTATTAATGTCTTAGTACTCTTAATTTGCAGCTGGACGGAGGTTTGAGAAATAGACGTATAAAAAGTTTTGACCACTGTTCATCCCCTCATTTAAATTACAGAATCAGTATTACACGGTGGTTTTAGGGAGAAAAGAAAAACTAAGACAACAGTTTATACATTCTCCTCCCCTAAAAACATCTTTATTCATCATTTCAAAGTACTCCAGAAAACCTCTCCTGCTTCTAATGCTGCTATCAACAGACTACACACAGACCTTTCACAGGCAAGAGATGGAAGAGCTTGCCAAACAACTGGGTCTGATCTGTGAAGACATCTTTTATGTCAGATGGTTTACAAAAATCAGTTTAAAAATACATCAGAATGGCAGTATTTCATTAGAATCTTTTTGTTTTATTGCAATGGAGTAAGAGTTGCGTTTCCAGTGGAAAACTGTTCTTTTTATTACTGGAGAGGGGAAAAAAGTCTATAAATAGAGCTCTAGAGCTTCTAATGCAGTATACAAGAGAACAGCACTTTCATTGCTTCATGAAGTGTTTGTTTAGAAAGCTTTTCCACAATAGAATTCTCCCGTCTTTTTGGCATCATATTTTCTTCATGCTCACTGAATTCAAGTGCTATTTATTGCTAAAATGCAAATGTCTATTCTTGGACTTTCACCCTTAAATTAGATGAAACTTACTATGTATGGAAGAATCACAAATCACTGTTTAAATGACTTTGATCTCAGCTATGTTAACTGAAACTCAGTAAACATCCACTGCAAAAGGAAAAACAAAAAAACCCACAAAAAACCCAATGGCAATGCTGCTTACATGACAAAAATGAATTCCTTTAACACTGTTGCCCATCTTGTCCAAAGGAGGTGACCAGCACATCAAGCCCATGACATTAGGAACAACCAGAAGAATCCCACCAGCAACTCCAGATTTTGCAGGAAGACCAACCTACAGAATATTTTAGAGAATTACTAGCCTCTGCCAACATTCTCCACTATTCTAACACAATGCATCAGCATTTTACTGAAGATTATTATGCAGCATTTATAAAACACAGATCTGGAAAGCACTTTAAGCTGGAAAAGCATTATTACTCATCTTTTTTTAGACAGACAACCTGAAGCACAGTTTGTGACAATCCAAGGTACACAATCATAAAACTATTTGCTCTCAGCAATACAATGAGTCAGTAATACAGTAGGAAAATATCATTTAAATCTATTATAAAAGAGCAATTATGACTAAGCAGTAGTGCACAACTCTATCTTTCAGAAACAGTTTGCAGCAAGGGAGTAGAACAAAGCTGTATCAATCAATTTAAAATACCTTGACTGGAAAAGGTAAAAAACAAAACCACAAGAAAACTGAAGAGTGTCTATGAAATCATACAATAACCTACTTATTTATAGTCTGGACCAAGGTAGTAATTTTTTCCAACAGAAACTAACATGTCACATATGCTCATAGCTCTCTAAGAAGTAACTTTTAGGCCATATGAAGCATCACAATCAAGTTTACATGTCTGTAGTAAGGAAAAACTAAAAATGCTTGAAAGAAAATGCTGAAAGCACAAGTAAGATACAGTCCATCCTGAAATATTTACATGTAAGGAACATACTGCTGGAAAACAGAAGCACAGTACATGTGCTCTGTATGACAGCCACTTTTACAACAATTTATGAGCCTGAGTTAGTGAAGAAAGAGCAACTCCCTGCTGGTTTTTTAGTCCCATATAGGAGGATTTCTCCAGTTATGTCTACATCATGAGCTCTTCTTCTCATGAACAGATCTTTCTCTCTTCGCCTTTCCTAAGGAACAGTATTTATGCTCCAATATGAAAAGGATTCCCAAATGTGAAGTGGCAGAGTGCTATAACATATGCTGTACTAGTAGTGCCATGAACCCTAGGTGAGATTTTTTTCCCTTATGGTTTGCTCAGTTTCTAAACAGTTCGTGTAACAATCCTCTCCTCTGCCTCAGAAACAAGGAAGCAACCCCTGGACTATGGAAAACAGTAGCAGAGATTAATCTTCCTGATCAGTTCTAATTAATATCTGAGAAGTACTTACATGAAAGGCAAACTGCCCTGAAAAGTCATACATGCCACAGGAATGCATTAAACTCAAGGTATTCCGGACTGCTTCAGGACTCAGAACTCTCTCACCAGTGATTGGGCAAAAGCCACCATTAGCCAGAGTTGCTGCCATCACACTTGCTGATTCACATGTTACTTCTATTGAGCAAAGCTTATGAAAAAGAAAGAGAGATTATAAGCACTGATACTTCTAAGCACAGTAAAGGCCAACTACAGCAGGATCAACAATATGTCTCTATAGAAATAACATCTCACAATCACCTGCAGCATAATATTTGTTACAGCTGACACTAGTAGCATCAATTAATACAGTCTGAATCTTTCTACTATAAAGATCCCAGTAACAGTGTTTTTGTAAGCCCTCTTAAAAGTCTGGGATAGTATTTTTTATGGGTTAGTGTCCCTGTTCAATTCCTCCCCCCACCCCCCCTTATGTTCCTTTGAGAGAAAGAGGTCTGGAAAACAATCTCAGTATTTTGCATCTGCTTAAATGTCAAAGACACAGAATGACTGGGTTTTGGGGTTTGTTTTTTTGGTTTTGCTTTTTTTTTTTTTTTTTTTCAATTTGAGCTTGTTTCATGTGAGGGGTTTTTTTTTTAAGCCTTAGTAGACCCCACACATTATTAGAAGTACATTTTAAAGCTGCAAATTCTAGCACATGCAAGTTTTAATGCCAGCAACTTCCTGCT